ATCTGAGGGAAGCTGGAGAATCACTTGAGAGGGGGCATGCTATTAAAGGATTTAGTACGTGATACCCTAATCAGAGAGAGTCGCTTACCTGAACGGTGGGCGAACCAGAATAGGACTGTGAGTCGTTATATATAACATGGGGGTGTAAAGGTGGGGATTCGACCTTTACATGGGACGAGGGGGAGGTAGTCCAGTCCATCACTGGTGCATGTGTATACGTCGATGGCTCATGGAGGCCGTCAAGGCTCGCGGGGGAGTGCGAATGGGTGCCATAGACGCTTTGGTGATAAGGAGCCGACATGGATGAGGAAACGTGTACTTGTGCATCTATACCACCAGCCCATTTCTGGATAGCAGCGGAGCTTCCCGAGCTCTCTGCATAGTGGGAGCTGGCATGGACATCGCTAGGTGTACTTCCTCTGGATGTATCTGTCGCTGATGTGTTGGTAATGACGAGCTTTTCATTGAGGAAGAGTGCATGCTCCATGTCGTCTGCGTGGGCAGGACCGCCAGAGGGGTGGGCGGGAACGTTGCCAGGATGAACCCAAATTCCTTGCTGGTACTTGTTAAGCGCATCTTTGGCTCTTTCTTGAGACTTGTATAGCAAGGGCTAAAAGTTCAAAGATCGTTAGAGGCATGCAAAGGGGATCGAGAGTGGGCTTACCAGGAAAGAATTGCAGGCATCGGATACCTTTGAGTGCGGTACAAATACGTCGGCAATCAAGGAGTTGGCGATTTCCATAGCTTCTGTGGATTGAGGCCAGTAGGGGAGGTATGTAGGGAGTGCATAAAGGAGCGTCTATTCGTTCATGAGCACAATCTCGGCTGGGGAAGAAACCAAGTTACTCACAGCGGTGGTGTGCCAGTGTTGCCATCCTAGGGGGTGACGGTCCTGTATATAACCCATGAGACGAGAAATCGAATGTGCTGTCTCTGCATGTATGCGTGCATGTTCAAAGCTGAAAGGTAGGTTAGACCCACACTGTAGAAAAGGCGTGGAGACTTACATGGCATGGGTTGACTTGCCCAATCGCCCGTGGAGGGGATCTTCCTTTGGTCGCATGATAGAATAAGAAAAGTATGTCTTATGCAAGTTCAGTGCGAGGAAGCTCTTGTACCCGCGCTTGTACGCCAAGATCGCTTGTCGTCTTTCCTCGGAAGGTGATTCTGGAGCATTAGCCATTTTGTCCGTGACAGTGGGTGTGGGCGAATCGATAGTATTGACATCCAGCTGTTGGAACTTGGCCTCCATACGGATGACGGCAGCGTAGGAAGGGGATAATCCAGATTCCATGAAATGCGCAAGCATATCTTGGATGAGGAGAGTAAGTTGTGCATGGTACTCTGGCACTAGAATAGAGGTCATTGATACTGAAGGAGACACGATCGACATGTGCACTTACGGCCCAGGTTTTCTTGTGGTGGTCGGCAGCTCACAAAACCTCTGACTAATGTTGGCGGTTGCCCCAAGTTCAAGCTCTAAAATGTTGCAATCAGCAAAGTGCAGAGGTGATAATCGGTTGGTCTGCTCACCGTCACCGAGTCGTGGAACCACATCTAGCGGGGAGTGAGTCAAAGTACATGTCGCGTAAAGGACTACTTACACCCCAGAAGACCCGTCGACGACGAAGAGCCTCAGAAGGAGGTAGGTTGAGAGGTTCAGGATCACGATCTGTTCATAGTTTAGCGCGAACAAACAGGTGTACACGGGCAAGAACGTACGAAGTCCCATCTAGGAGAAGAAAAAGGTAAGCAGGGCACGATATAGGAAGCAAGGATGTGCTACTGACCTTTTCACAGACCTTGATTCCCCAGGCAAGTAACTCGTACGATTGTTCGGCAGGAATATCGGGGGATGGGCCAGAGAGCGCGAACAGGAGGAGTAGACTCTCCATATCAGCGATCGTCGTGGGTCCCTTTGGGAACTCTGTCCAAAACAATGCACGAGCCCAGTACCTGAATAGCTTGTAGTCGTTCTCCCACGAGGGGGTTGTCGAGTCCCATAACAATCCCATGGCGCATACGGACAGTAGGGAGGAGAGGGAGAAGGCGGATAGAGACTTGACGTCACCATCATACGCGGGATGGAAGAGTTCTTCCATGACCTCTTTGCGACCAACGAGGGTAGGGCTAAAACGAAGAAGATTAGGCACTCTGATGGGTTCGGGCAACACAAAACGACGGACCCAAGCCACTAACAAGTAATAGAAGATCAGCTACTGCGTAGATAGACGGAAATAGATGGTCACTTACACAATACTCAAAGTAGGTGTCAATGAGTCGAAGGGCCTCTTCGCGGGTAGGGAGTACCGCTATGGCCCTACTCTTGACATCAAGCTCCCGATTGAAGCCTACCGATAGGCCAAGGGGGGATTCACTTCGACGGAATGCATGGTCAGAGCTAGGAGGCGACTTTGCATCGACCGATTCGTAGTCCTGTTGAGCACAAAGGTTAGCAGGGATTCCTCCAAAGAAGGACGAAGG